TTTTGTTTGGTTCATTCATTACATTTTCGAAGCTTTCATCTAAATGTGTAACTAAAATAGGATTAAAAATTTTTAAAAATGGTACCAAGATATTTGTTTAATTGTAATACTTCCACAAAAATCATTAATTTAAAAACAAATTTTCGACTACCACTAAGCACAAATCCATTAAGTAATAAGGCAAACTAATGAAAGGAAATAGGAAATTGGATGCCACCTTAGTATGTGTATTTTTTAACCCAAAAATTCTAGGAAACGATATACAATTTGTTTTATTTAGTAGTCCAGATTTAGTGAACTTGGCGGCGCAATAGCTTTATTAGAATTCGAAAATTGTAAGATGAACACCTTGAATCATTTAAATCCAACAAGCCGTTTGAATTGCTCACGGTGTACAATATTAAATAATGATTTGTTTTTTCGTCAATGTTTAATTAATGCATAATTTTCTTTAAGAAATAGTTTGTTAAATTTTTCCTTAAAAAAATTACATTTTTATTTAACTTGACTTTTGTCAATGCAAAATAAACGTCAACTTAATCCGAATTAGTTTAATAATTGTGAACTAAATTCTCATTTCGCTTTCTGTAACCGGCTCCTAAAGGAATTTATCTTGAAACCACGTCAAGTTTGCAATCCGATAATTTACGACCCTGCCTGCTTGCGGTCGGCATCCAGCAGGGGCTGGTTTATTGAGGCGTCATTTTCATTTTGTTCGACTGTACATCTTACAGTGTTCGAACTCTTCTATAACAGGAAACGGCCACATGACTAGCTTTATCACATAACGTTTTGTTTTTTTTTTTTATTTGGTTTAATTTCTCTTGCAGTTTTTTTTGTTCACTGCGAAATTCAAAATGTCTTTTTTTATTAAATGTTGTTACCGTTTTGGCGCCCCCTTAACTCTGGCGCCCGCGTGCGTCGCACGCCTTGCACCCCCGCTTGTGGCGGCCCTGGAGTAATGATTTTTTAAAATTAAAGTATTTTAAATTCATTTGAATCAGAAAAAAGTTAATTAGTTCAAAGTGTGTGGACTTTTTGAAATTTTTTTAGTGCATTTGATTTGTCTCACTGAGACGAACAAAAAGATATATAATTTGTCAAGTTGTCACAACATGACTTTTTTTGTCGCCCTGTGTTATGATAGAAATACTCACGGATGCATTTGGGTAGGGGCCCCGACCAGTTGCCGTTCAGCTCGCATTCGATGCCAGGGGGCCCCATGAGACGATAGCCCCATGCGCAGCTGAAGACCGCGCGGCCCCCGTAACTATTGTTGTGTTCCTCCAGGTGTAAATGGGGCTCGTAGAGACCGCCGGGGGTGTCCAAAGACTCGCATTTGACGAGCTCGCATGTCGGTACGGGGGCTGACCATTTGCCTGATTAGAATATTTTTAAATTGAAAAATTCTGGTTTTAATATAAACAAAGGGGCTGTCTGCGAACTTAGTCACGTTTCTGGGGTTTAGATAGTTGCGATTTCGAGCGAGATGTTGATGTACTCTGGTTGTAAAGTTGAAGCTTGATTATGAGATATATTCTTTTGTATGCAAAACGTGCATCTGAGGGTAAAATGCAACGGGAGAGATAAGTTCAGACAAAAGTTACAAAGAAGGGGGGGGGGGAAGAGTTTTATGAGGAAAGTGGATGGAATGCTTTTGTGAAATTCTGTTATGTAACTAAATAGAGCAAAGAATTAACAAATATTTCTGTACCTCGCAATCTAATTTTTAGAATTTCTGAAGCTGAGTCGACAAAAAAGTGGTAAAACCGTTTTTTCTCAATCTTGGTCGGCAAATGTTTCATTCACTAATAAGAGTGCAAAAAAGTAACGACGCTGATCATAATGGAAGTTAGCGATAACTCTTGCCGTTTGAAAGTTGAAAAATTAATTTTGAGATATCGGCTTGAAACCTATACCGCTAATTCTGATAGTTTTCTCGCAATCGTCGCTTGAATAAAGTGAAACATACGTTTTTTCAAAATTTTAAACGTTTTTCTTGAAACCTCACGGTAAACTGCTTTTTTAAATTATTTTTCGAAAAATGAAGACACAAAGTGTCTGGTGAAAACGTTAAAAGCTTTTGAGGGGTTATTATTTAGATTAAAAGAAAAAATGTTTCTATGTCCGGAAATGAATTCAAAGAGAGCAAGAACCTTCTGAAAATGCCAAAAGGTCTTTTTTTCATTATCTCAGGAATTAACCTGAAGTAATTTTTGTGGTTGCGATCAAAATTGTGTAGACTTAGCGGGCATACTGTGGTTAACGTAAATTAGGCAAAAAAAATTGCTTTGGAAATACCGTGCGATCAAAAAAAAAATAATTAGAGTAGGCGATGATTAAAGTCCGTCAGATGGCAATCTTGATTTTTGACATCAAATGTCAGCGGAAACTTTGACAAGTTTGCGTTTTATTCCTTTTGAGTGAAATAATGTTCACTTTAGAGCCGAAAATTTTTATTGCTGTACAAGACGAAAACGGTGAATGGTCATTTTCACTTTCAGTTTGTGTAGAAAATTTCCAGCCCAGATTCTCAGGCAATGTGTTGCCAACTGTAGAATTTAATCGACGCCTATTCTATTTTTTTTTGATCGCACGGTAGTTATTTACATTACACGTGCGGTAGGTACAATTTTACAGCGTGAAGTTTTAATATTGATGCTCGAAGCAAAACTGAGAGTTGCGGAATTAAAATTTCGGGCAGCATTTTTCTGTCACTTCAAAAAGTTCACTGTAAACTAACTTTTACTGTCATCATGACTGACATTTGACAATTAAACTTTTCTGTCGGTGACGCTATTTTTGAAAGTAAATGGGTAAGTCAAAATGACATAAATATGACAAGAATAAAAAATCCGGTTGTTAATGTAAAATTTTGATTCCGCAACTGTACAAAACTTTTTAGCCAAAGACGCATCTTCGATTAATTTAAATTTCGATTTGTCAACACATGACGGGTCTATGCGTCTACTATTGTCAGCACGAGATGGCGAAAAACAGAATCTTGCCGAAAAGGAAATAATTTTGTGTATTTTTTAATACTAAATAGATAAATTTGCGCAGTAACTTCTCTCAGCATTAATGGACTTTATTCACCATAAAGTATCTTTTTTTTCGGAATCACTGAAAACCTAAAATTTTCTTATTATTTTACAGCACTTCGAGCACGAATATCTTGTAAAAATCAGATACCGCAGCTGTCAAAAATGTGTAAAAATGTCAATTACAGTTGTCAAGCCCAACAATTTTGATTTGCTGATTTAAAAATGTTTTTAGTGATATTTTTATACGACGCAGTTTTTGAGAAAAATGGAGTTTTCTAAAACAGTGCACCGATTTTAATTCTGAAAAACAATACACGTAATGAGTTTTTCGGTGGCGGACACGAAATTTTGGACATCAAATTTATCTCAGTTCAAAAAATGTCAATGTGAGCCACGCTTTATTGTCATTATGATTGACTTTTGAAACTAAAATTTGAAAGTTTTACTTGAAATTTATTTTTGGCGTCGATTTTCCGAAACAATAATGCTAGCAATACGTGTTTTCATATAAGTTCAATAATTTATTTTGATTTGTTGTCATTTTTTTCTCTAGCTATCAGGTTAACAATTACAAAACCGAAAGTAAAGTTAGTTGCCTGAGGCCCGTATTACATTTTTATGTCAGTCGAATGACAAATCGTCCGCCAGTGTATAGCATGGAATTATTAATTTACTTTTAATTATTAATTAGCTCCTTTAGGAAGGAAGGTCATAAGAACTTTTTTTATATACTGATTTATTAAATCACTCCTCAAAATCTTTTAACGTTTTTTTCAGGACAGCCTGTATATTACAGTTTGTGTTTTTGAATAACAAAAAATAACTCGAAGCTCCCCAGTTGGAAACGGTTTGCGCTGGTGAGTTCCCCGGATTTTACGTTACATATCGTCAGTTCCGGAATATTTGAGTGATTTCTGGGTGCCTGAAAGACCGCGATATTTCAAGGTTGACACCTTGAAACTCAATATTATGAAAGCCACTCGTCGTAGAGTATTTTAACCGGTCTTATTATAGAATCCAACACGCAATTTTACGCCCGAAAACTATATTTTGAACTTATTTTCGAACTGAAGTTAACCAAAGTTTTTTACCATTTTTCAGGAACATGTCCTGATAAATAAAAAAATCGCCTTCCCTTCAATCTGGCCCTTCAGTAGTACGAAAAACGTTAATTTGGCACAATTTTATAACTTTTAATCTTTTCATAATTTTTTCGTTTTTGTTATTGGATTTTTTAAAGTTATTCGATACTTCTTCTCGTATTTACATCTCTATCTGTTACTACATTTCTAATGTCACTTAGTTAATTTTAATTTAGATTTTAATTTGAAAATCATCGTTTATGCCAATTATTGTACACTTATTCATAGCAAGAGTGTTTCTTGTCAATTATCTGACCCATAAACCCAAATTGCTCATTTTATGATAATTACAACAATGAATTTTATAATTAAACGTTCGAATGATCAATGTAACACCACCATTTAATTAGATTTTAAAACAAAGAAAATTGTTTTGTAACCCCGACATTTAGACAAGTTGCGTAAACTCATCCTCACAAAAAATAAAACTTTTTATATGTGTCATTTTAGGAGTACTAAGAAAAAAGAATAAATATAAACATAAAAAATATATAGCATTAAACATAAAATGGCATAAAGAAATAAATGTTTCGCCGTTTCAGTTTATTACGTAGGGTGGCAGAGATTGTAATGTCGGAGATTTTGTTAGTAACCGCCCAAATAAAAGCAATAAATTCAAAATTACTAAAGCGGTTTTTGGACAAATAATTCCGTGAGCAAATCTAAATTCTCCGAGAATATTATTTCACTGCCAATCGAGGGTCGAAACCGACATTGCGGACATGGCAGAATCCTCTCACGAGACCCGCGAAATCCTCGTTCGTGGCAGATTGAAACCATAAGTAGTGCTTGTCAAACACGACTCACCCGAAGCCTGACAGGTGAGATTAGCCGCACCATTAACTTTGAATCCCATCGGACATTGGAAGATGGCGGTATGGCCGAGACGAGTTCCTTCGACGCGGATGGTAAGGTGGGGGCCCGACACGGAGATGGGGTCGCAATGCACAGCTATTCAAACAAACAAAAATTAGCTTAACTTGAAAATTCTTTAGCTCAGTTAAATTAGACAAATCGGTGGAAAAAAAATCCTAGAGAGTTACACTTGGATAGACATATATCAAAAGTCCCCGAAGGTGGGGGGCGAACTCGAGGAGGAGTAGGGGCTTAAAGGTGTCTTTTTTTGGTTTTTTGCTTATATCTCGGAAATTATGACTCCTATAGGTTTTTATCTTTTTATCAAAATTAAAGCTTACAAAATTTCCTACAAAACGGTCCTTTGCATATTTGTTGTAGGACTAACCGTAGGGCAGAAAAAAAACATCATTTAAAAAAATGTGCTTTATCTGCATTTAAAACAGAATTAGTCTTGTAATTAAAAAAAAAACTGACAGTAAATTGAATTTACTGGGTCCAATACTTCATTAAAGGAAGGGGGAGTCACGAGGGTCTATAAATACAAACTCATCGTTTATGTAATTTATACAGAATTTTCTGTAGAAGTCTATTTCTGCATCAAAATTTCCTACAAAAATTGTCCTATTCATTTTTGTCGTAGGACTAACTGTAGGTTTCAAAAGTTTGGAGTCTACATAAAACTGCATTAAAAATCCTTTGAAACACATTTCATTAGTATATGGTAAGTATTTATATGTGTAGAGCGTTCCCCAACTAAGTTGGTCTGCCTGAAAGGTGACTCGAGTGTAAACATTTAAACGGAAATATAAATGAAAATTTTTGATGAAAGAGAGAATCAATCTGTAAGGGGGTTAAATGGCGTGTAAATGTTTAAACAAAGATATAAACATGAACTTCTTCAGAGGTGCAAAGGGGCACTAAAGTCAGATTTTTCGAAAATTGGTTTTTAAGGGAATAAAACGATGTACACATATAAAGGGATATAAACACATTAAATTTAGAAAATATGATCCTTAGAGAGTGTAGAAATGCACTTATCAAATTTTATTGAAATAAAATAGAGTTTAAACGCTTAAAAACAAAATTAGAAACATGAAATTTAGAATTTTGAGAGTGCAGAAGTGCACTGAGACGACACTTTATGAAAATCAACATTTAATATTTATCCATAAACATAGCCCATGCGAAGAACGGGACTACTATAACTGAATCGTATACATAGGTAATTATCTAGCTTTGTAGAGTACCTAAGCCTATGGAATGGTTTTGTGAACGGGCTTTCTCCCATTTTATATCAGAAATACACGCGGACAAAGTCGCAGGCAAATGCTAGTTCAGCATATAAAGATGGCTCGGAAGACTTGATAGACCCTCGTGACACCTTTTAATAAACTGTTGGATCCAATAAGTACATTCAATTTACTGTAAGCTTTATTCAAATCATCGATATTAAATCATCTATTTATTAATTTTGTACTGAACAAGACTGTAATTCGGTTTTCAATGTTTAAGTTGAAGACAAAGATGCAGCATATGAGGACGACTCGGAAAACTTTATAGACTCTCTAATGAAATCACAAGATTAATTCTGTTTTAAATGCGGATTAAGCACATTTTTTTAAATGATGTTTTTTGTCAGCCCTATAACTCGCTTACAGTTAGTCCTACAACAAAAATGCAAAGGGCCATTCTTGTAGGAAATTTTTTAGGCTTTAATTTTGATAAGCAGGCAAAAACCGTTAGGAGTAATAGTTTTCGAGATATAAGCAAAAAAACAAAAAAAGACACCTTTAGCCCTCTCCCCCTCCTCGAGCTTGCCCACCACCTTTGGGGACTTTTGATATATGTCTACCCAAGAATAAAGAAAGCGTTTAAAAAAATTCCAACTCTCTAGGATTTTTTTCCACCGATCGCCGTATTTTTGTATAATTTGACCGGGCTACTTGTCTGTGACTTCGAAATTAAGTTGGCTACATTGACTGTCGTCAAATTCAAATGTCACAATTTTATAGCCAATTGTCAATTTTGACAATTTTCTCAAGTTTTTGGTTATTCCGACATCTTTTTGGTTATTCCGACATGTTTTGTTCAATGTTGCCAACTTTCAAACTGTTTATGAAATTTTATTGAACAATTATTTTTCTGGGCCAAAAATAAATTTCTCACCTGCGACTTGTAAAGTGAGACTGTTGGTGATTCCTCTAGGAGTGGCGCAAGTGAACGTACCCGAGTCTTGGGGTTTCACATAATAAATCGATAATCTATACTTCCAATCACGCTCTTCTGCCGCTATTGCCCAACCTGGAACAATTTGTTTGCTTCGATAAGTCTCTGACGAATTCACCTCGAGGCGAGAGACGATTCGCTGAAGGGTGATAGAAAGACTCGTTTTGCTCTTTGACCGAGATAAATAATTTAATTATTTCGTTTGAAGCGAAGTAATTAATAAAAACGTGTCACATACAATACGACGGCAACAATAGAAAAGTGAATTTTAATCAATTGGAACGGGGTTTATTATCCTGTCTATGACACGTGACCAACTATTAATTTTCTTTTGTTCGAGGTTATTAACAATCTACCAGTTGACAAACATTTAAAAATTTAATTTTTGTGATGATGTTGTCTTTTAGTATACAGAGTGATATTAATTTCAGTATCAGATTGAAAATTTTAAATTTTCTTTTTTCCAGCCTCGTTCGGCGCCCATGGATTGGCATCGTTCCGGCCTGAATTTTTCATTTCACATCAACGATTAGTCTATTTTTACAAATGCTTATTTTTCATAACTTTTACCTAGTAGCTTTAATATGTATGGCTTTATTTAATGTCGTTTATTTCAAAGTAACTTTGTATACAGGATAATTTATAGGTAGTTGTCAAATCTGTATTATCGAATATATTTTTTTTCTACACATTATTTACTGTGCTAAATGCTGTATAAAAACAAATTTTGCGTTGTCAAGTTAATGGCATTTTTTTCTAAAATTCTAAAAACAAAAAAGTTAAATTTTGTATAGCAGTAATAAAAAAGACTCTCCTGCCGTGTGATATATTGTGATTTGTTTTTGTTATCTAAGGTTCTAATTCTAAGTAACAGCATATACAGGGTGTCCGGAACATCGCATACCTTCTTGAAAAGGAGTCATTGGGTAGTGCCCCAGAGTACGTATAAGGAAAATACACTACTCTAAAAATTAAAGGAACAAAAAAATTTCCTAAATTTTTTGATGATTTTTAAAGGCTGTATCTCAATGAAAAATGGTCGTATGTGATGCGAGAAATAAATAATTGTGTAAGTTTTTGGGTTTTTTTGGATTTTGTTAGTTGAACCAATGCATGGGTCAGACAGCTTGTTCATTCAGATTTAATTTGCTTTTTTATATTTTCTTTACGTCAATTTGTCGCTGAAATATCTGACTTTTAATGAAAAAGGATCTTCTTGTCTTTGATCATCAATATCTCAGCAACCAATGACCGCACAGAGAATGTAAGGGTAGTTTTAAAAAGCAGAATAAATTCCGTATAAAATTCTTTTACGATTTTTTGAAAAAAAAATGTCTTCAGTCCTAATAAAAAGTAATTTTCCACCATAAATTCAGAAAGGAAAGTAGCCAATTACCTCCAAGGGAGGTAAACATTTTACTTCCCTCATCTGTCAAAACAACATTAAAAATATATGTAACCTCCAAGAGAGGTAAAAATGTAGCCTCTCCCAAAGAAATATACTGCTAGATTTAATGACCAAAGTTGGATATCAAGAAAAATTGTTACTTTTGAAGTTGTTCCTGCTACATTGTGGGAAAACTTATATGTATTACACTGGAGGAAAGTGTATTTTCCACCTATGGGAGAAAAAGATACACTCTTCTCCCTCGTAACACACATAACTATTACTCTCAACATTGAAGAAAAGAGAAAAAAGTAACTTATTTCTTTGTTTTAGTAAATCTATCGCGAATTTACAAATATTATTGGGGAAACTAATGTTTTCAGGTTTTTTACAGCTTAATGTACCCCTAATAGCCTTGTACATTTTTAGATCAATCAATCAAACCGTTTTCTCGGACCGATTGATCAAAATTCTACAAAAGAATTAAAGAAACAAAACAAAACAAGGGCCTTTTCTAAAAAGTGTTTTATACTATTTTTTCCATTTTGTACTTTTTTTACTGAAAAAAAGAAACATTTTTAAATTTAGGGAATTTTGCATCAGTTGGAGTTACTGTGAAAATTCAACTCGAATTGTTTTTGTTTTGTTATTGTGTGTAATCTGAAAATGAGTTAAGATTTTTTTCAGGTTTGCTACCGAAAATTCAGGAAATTTGTAAGTTTATTGAAAGTATTTTACCTTCAACGGCATTGTCACCAACATTTAAAATATAAAATACACTAAGCTGTTAATGCACTGTAAGGAGCTGTGAGCGAGTAACCAATCGACTTCGTAAAATTTAATTTATAAAAATTTTATTTACACTTGTAATTTTATAAAAATACATTGTATTACATTTAAAAACATACCTTACTAGTGAATCAGCCTGTATATTGGTATTTTTAAAGAGCTATATTAAACGTTCCAAATTCGCGCATTTGGGCTCTATATTATAATGATAAAACCTTCAGGGGCGCTATTTTTGTCTTATAAAAATTTAACGAGGGCTCTAAACCCCGATTGGAGAGCCTTTCTTCCGATAATCTGCCTGTTAAATATGAATATATCTCTCTTTATAGATGTTTGTGTAGGCTCGAAGTTGACATGCGGAAACCATTTGTTTTATTGCTTTCCATCGAAAAGACATTGTTCACGTCCTATGGGAGCGCAACGTCTCAAAATTTATGAAATATCTCCTTCGAAACAAATCCCGCAAAGTCGCAAAATTTCTTGTATTTTTCGTTCTCGTGTTCTAATTTCCAGGAACGAAATTCGGTCATGTATGGAAAGAGTTGAAGTCCTTTTGATATCATTTAAGTCTTCTAAGCGCCTCGCGACGGCTTGTTTCCGTTTCCTTTGCCTTTCGCTCTTTATCAGGTCAAAATAAATTGACGTTTGGAATTTTCACCTGACTTGTGAATAAATATGTTGCAGTCAATACGAGAGTTTTAGGAATAAATGCCTCTATATTTTAGTTTTACTGGCAATTTATTGTAAACGTGCTCAAGTATTACCCACTGGGTAAATATTAACCGACGTAAATTTTAAAATATGTACTTGCAAGGGAGGAATTTTTAAATTATAAAAGTGTAAGCCATGACATAAATCAACGTTGAAATTTATTTTTTAACACCTGTTTAAATCCAGACGATTGCCAATTTTGTAAATTTATCGAATTGTAAAAAGTTGCGAGTGCAAATTTATTTATTATTAGGTTTATCGAATTCTGTTTTATCATTTTGCGAAATTACAATCGAATGCCGGGATTCGTGGAAAGCAAGTGGTTTCTTTGATCAAATATTGAAAGCTAAATTTCAAACCGAATACTAACTTTTCAAATTAAAACTTAAAATGTTGCCGACTTGCTCGACCTACAAATATAATTACAACAAGATTTTTAATCGAGTTTCTACCAATCCAACAAATAACACTAATTTAAGCATCGGTTTGTTTTCGTGAATAATTTTTTGATTAGATACAAGTAATTAATAAAGTTGGTGATTTGAAAATTTTGTAATTTAGATAATGTATAATTATAACAAAAATGTAGACAGTTTGGTTGAGGCAATCTGTACAATGTTGTTCACTTGGTTTTAATAGATTTGTCGTAATTTTTGAGTTCGTATCTGTATACGAATCCTATGATGCGCTAGAACTCACGCCCCAAAGAAAAATGTAAAGCAAGAACATGAAAAAAAAACTTAAAAAAATCCTATTTATAAAAATTTCGAACTTATGAGAATTAAAATTTTGCACTTTGACTTGTTATGTCTGTTGGAAAAATAATTTTCCAAGTTTTTTTGCTACTTATTGGATAAATTTTTGTACCTTTACTAAATAATTATAAAAAAACATATACAAGATCATCAATATCGTTAAAAAATGTCAAATGTCAAAAAATAAATGTAAACATTTTTTGACAATGAATTTTTTTCATGTTCCTGTCTTACTTGACATTTTTCTCTAGGGCGCGAGTTCTGACACACCCTGTATATTGAAACACACGTGATAAAATATTTGTTCAATCACTGATTTTAGCTTGTCAGAAATTAGAAAACACTTTTCCAATATATCTGTATATTTTAATCGTCGAGCTTTTGTAGTATAAAAATTTGATTTGAAAGGGCAGTGAAACATTAATTTTTTTGATTTTAGTTTACTAATTAACGAAGTATATTTTTTTAATAGAATAGAATTAATTTTTCAAGCTCAGATACAAGGCAATATTAAATAAAAATGCATCTGAATATTAAATTTTCTCTAAAAATTTCACAACAGGTATATCGACTTTCAAGTTTCTTCTTCCTTTGAACCCTCATCTTACATTCAAATTAAATTCCGAACAAAAATTGCAAAGTTATAATTAATAGGTTAAAAAAGCTTATCTTTGAAGAATTTGATAAAACGTTATCAAGTTCGGATAAATCGCGAGCGTAAAAATTGACGGTGTAAACGTATCTTAAACAGACAGCGAACAAATGGGTTTTCATTAAAGCTCTCTACGTCACTGTTTATTTTCCCCGTAAGAACAACGTAATCGTCGAACTCATAAACTTGGGGTTTGCTTCACTTCAGCGCTTCGAAAGCTCATGACAGGAGAAAAAGTTTTTTAAACACCACAAAAGCACATTGACAAATACCGGTAATACCTGCTTTCATCGACTTTTTTCGCAAAGCTCGCCAAATTCTGACAAATTTTAGGATTTCCTGAAACGACTCTCGATTTTTTTCAATTATTATTGTGATTTTTCTCATTATCACTTATTTCAATCTTTACAAAGGAAAAAAATCTGTTGACTTACTAATTTCTTGAAAAAATTGCAACCGAGAAAAGCTTTTTAATCATATTTCACGCTGTGATTTTTATCAGATGATTAAGTTCGGAAAAAGCATCTTTTAATTTTTATTAATTTGATTAATTAATGCTTTAAGCAGCGAACGTTGCGTTAATAATTTCCGAAAATAATGATCTGCCTTTAATGTTTGGATTTCCTAATTAAATTAATTAGAGATTTGGCCACAGTAATTATCATAAAGATGACATTGTTGAGGATCAACAGCTACTCAGAGAATTCTAATTTGGCCACATTTACTCTCATTTGGTGCAGAGTTTTCAGGATGAAAGCAGACGGTTGGGTCATATAATATTTATATATTTTAATTTTACAGACGGATGAGACCTGAAAATAAGCAGAAAGTTGAAAAGGAGCACGTTTAATGATCCAAAAACGCTGAAACATAAGTAGTCTTTTTAATGGTGAGTGCGATGGGATAATTGATTAAAAAATAACTAGGAAAATTTTGACATGAAATCATATACAAAGTTGAAAAAATTGATCTAAAAAGTAGGTAAGGATTGGAATGATATTAATTCAAAGTTAAGAAAATGCACGTTTAGTGTTAAAAAGACTGCAATTGTAAAAATTTATTTAATATTATTGTATATGTAGAAGTCAGCAACGAAGAAAATGATATAAATAGTAAATTTTTGAGAAATATAAAAAAATGGTGATAATGATTTAATGAGTCGTAAGACTTCTAGAATTTCAAAGCTCTGCATATTTTTTAATTTTTGATATGAGAAAACTTCTAACTTTTAAAAATTTTATTATAAATAAACTACGTCTATAAGTTAAAAAAGTTTTGTTCAATGATCCAAAAAATATGAAACAAAAAAATAAACCACAATTTGCACATTCAAAAAACTATAATTGAAAAATATTTCAAAAACTAGATTAATGTTTTAACAAAAAAATTATGGGATGATAAATTTGTAAAAATTATAATTATAGGGTGTTCCGTTTTTATCGTTACAAATTTAAACAGGTGATAGAACATTCAATTTTAAGATAAGTTTCCTATGAACATGTATTGAAATATTTTATATAAGGGAGCTACATCCCCTGAAAGGAGTGCATCTTTTAATGGGATTTTTTCCAAAATTTCAGAAACCATTGTAGATAAAATTACACCCAAACGAATTCAAAGATAAAATGTTGAAATTTTTACTCAGAAGCGTCCTAAACTGAGGGGTTTAGGGTAAAAAGTACCCTAACTATTTTGGATGTTGGTTCTTGCCACTTTCAGCCACACAATTCTAAATTTCATAGTTTTTCACAAAAAATAGGTCTTGCATTTTTTCTATACAACTTACCGTTTTTGAGTAAAATCAGTTTACAATATGTGTTACAGACCATAAAACGTATAAAAATTAAAAATTAAATTTGTTTTACCGTTTAAGACGCTCTTGATTAAAAATTTTGACATGTGATCTTTAGATGCGTTCAGGGGTTTATCAGCTCTATCAACTTTTGTAATTTTATCTATTTTGCTATATTGGGAAAACCCCAATAAATAGTGCATCTCTTTCAGGGGGTGAAGCTCGCTTACACAACATTTTTTGATACATTTTCATAGGAAAATTTTGTCTTCAAATTGAATATTCTATCACCTGTTTAAATTTGTAACAATAAAAACGGAACACTGTGTATAAAAATTATATTATTTGGGTTTAAAATTAAACCGTGCATGGGCTTATATACTAAAGGTTTTGCTTATTATAATAATATTACTGGATAGTGTTTTAAGTAAGACACGTACATATTTTCTGATTTTGAAAATTTTTCGTTGCACGTGAAAAATGAAAATTATAAACTTTGAAATCCTTTCTGGATGTAATAGTAGGAATCGGTTCTTATTGGGCAAAAATATGTGCTTAAATTGTGTACCGCAACTTAAAAGTATTGATGTTTATCATAATTGATAATGACCAAATTAAATACTGTCAAAATTCAGAGGCTATAAATATTTCATTTCCGACACCAAGAGGTTCAGAAGACAGTAAAAATAAAAAATAAATTAACACTGTTTTGATTAATTTAGATGAAAATTTTTAGATAGTTTTCATAGAATTTTTTGAGATAATTAGGAACTTGAAAACCTTAAAAGTATACTTAGGGAGTTACAAGACTAGACACACGTTCCAACGGTTTTTGATACATGTTATTAAGAAGAATCATTTTAACATTTCCCACTACCACGTCGAAGGAAAAATTTTGATATTTAATAATATTTTTTCTACCGTTAATCGCAAGCTTCAAAAAAGAGAAAATACGCTTCGAATATTTTTTTAAGTAGGTACCTTTAAATATCAATCCAAAATGTCTATAAATAAAAGTTTATTAATAAAAATCCAAGAGCTTTACAACTGAAATTATCTAGAAAGTCTAGTTATTTTGATAAAATTTGTAAGTGGTAGATGCGCTAGGATTTAACTATGAAAAAATTAGTTTATGATATGAAGTTGTGAATATGAAGTTCTGGATAGATAGATAATGTACGATTTTTAACACAATTTAAAAATGGTTCATGTTCCGGGCTGTATTTTTTTGCAAAACTGACTTTAACAAAGGTCCCAACCCTTTTGTTGGCCCTTAAAGCTTCCTGCGAGACCCTCACCCTAAATTAATTTGCCGGAACGCACGACAAAGAAAGTTGTAATAAATCGTTTCGACTTTTAATCCTTAAATATAACTACTTTGGGTTTTTAAGTGGGTAGTCAATGGATATGGGAACGAAAGCGGTACAATAGAAGTAAGAAATCAAATAGAATGTTTACTTTACCGGTGAGATATTGTCCCAGGGGAGACGTCCAAGTCCAATCTGGTGAGCCAAGTCGACGGGAAAAGAGACATTCCAGGTGCACAGTCGATCCAGGGAACACCGCCAATTCCCCTCCGGGTTCGACGGAGGCCGAACCCGATGGTATCCTGATTAGAAGAGTCGGAGGAGCGTCCTCTTCGAACATCACAAAATTAAAATTCGTTTTAGAAAAAAATCAAGAGTTAATCTGAGATGAAAAGTGGCTCCACTTTTTCAAATCACCGAGTCGTAAAAATTTATCATATCAACTTGTTGATAAACGCATCAGTGATTCGTGAAGAGTCCTTACTGATTTCATCGGTTATTTTTCAGTAAGCGTAAACCGACGCAATTTAATATTAATTTAAGTAAAGTCGGGAGCTTTATTGATTAAAGTTTCTTCTTCGATCACGCATTTATTATTCATAGCGTCGTACTATAGGGATATTACGCAACTCTAAGGATCTTCAGTCAACATTTACCAGTTTGATCATAAACAAACATCCTGGAACTTAATAGTTTGCTCAGGATTACAGAACAGATGCGATTTACTGTTTTCCATGCAACTGAATGTCAGAGTATCGTTTTTCGTCCTTTGTATGTTTTCAATTAATTTGCTTTTGGAGGGACTTTCGACGAGGGAAAACTTCACATTTGCATTGTGCGAATCTACGCTGATTACGAATTTCAACAAAAACTTGGCTTCACAAAAACAGAAAATGTTATTAATAAAGAATTTTTTTGATTAGTTAAAACCAAAACGACACAAAAAATAAAGAATATAATCAGAGAAACTGACTGTAAAATAACAATTATTCTCAAATATTTATTTTAGGTCGTTAACTAAAGAAAAATATACCAGGTGAATAAAAAGTATGGAACCAAACGCTTTTTGCTTAAACTACAGGGTGCTGCATTTTGGATGTCCGAATACGGAATCTCCGAAATTAAGAGGTTTAGCCAAAAACGAGTGATACATTTTGGGGTTCATTTTTTGAGAAAATAATATTGGTTAAAACCGTATCCCGTTATCGTCTTTTGTTTTCGACTTATAGACAAAAATTAACATTTTAGCGAAATCTAAAAAATTCATATCTTTGTTATTATAGAGGACACAGATTTGAAATAAAGACATTATACAGGCACTTTTTTACGTAGAATTTAATAATGTAGTTAACAATTTTTTTCAGTTGTTTGTTTACCCGTAATAAGATAAACTTGTATTTTTTTAAATGGAAATCATAGGCGGCTATGGCAATTTTGAAAAGCTTATTTTTTTCTGATCTAAAAAATATATATTTGTAACAACATATTTTTTATAACTATACTTAAAAAGTGAAATACATATTTTGTGTGATAATAGTAGGCCATGGAAAAACTATTTCACTCCAAATGTGTAAATAATAGTCAATAAGAGTTTTGTGAACTGTAAAATAGATAAAAAAATAGATAAAATTATAAAAATTTAAAAAATACGATACGTTAGAAGTATTGAACAAATATGCGAGCGCCTCAGAACAAAATTATTACATATTTTTAAAAAATCCAAAAATAGGAAAAACAAACAAACAGTCAACACAATTAGAAAAAACATTTTTTTGATGATCTAATGAAGGTAGGATAACGTTCCACATAGACGGAATTTGGATATTAGAATAGCCATATCGTCATTTTTGTGTCATATAAAATATATTTTATTGAAGAATTAAAGCGGCTTTTTTTACAACACTATGTATCACTATTAGAAATTGCAATGGTAATGTTAGCTTGTTTAAAAACAAAGAAATGTTATTACTCGCCAATAAGTTGATTTACGATTTATTTTGCATTTTTTTCCTTACTTAGTACTTAGAAAACTCTTTCATTAGTGACACTGGTTGAATAATATAGTTTAAATCCTTTTAGTTGAAGATGCAACATTTTTTCATGGCCAACTGCGAACAAAAATCAAAGATAATTTTTTGCTAAAAATGTATTATAATAATTTGTTACAAATATATATTTTTAGATAAGAAAAAAACAAGCTTTTTAAATATGACATAATCATCTATGATTCCCATTTAAAAAAATACAAGTTTATTTTATTACGGCTAAACAAACAATTGAAAAAAATTGTTAACTACATTATTAAATTCTACGTAAAAAAGTGCCTGTATAATGTCTTTATTTCAAATCTGTGTCTTCTATAATAACGAATATATGAATGAATTAAATTAAAATAAAAAAATAAAATATGAAAACAAAAGACGATAGCGGAATGCGGTTTTAACCAATATTATTTTCTCAAAAAATGAGCCCCAGAATGTATTACTCGTTTTTGGCTAAACCTCTTGGTTTCAGAGATTCCCTATTCGGACATCCAAAATGCAGCACCCTGTACAGTAGACTCCCGCTTATCCGAAACAGTCGGAACCAGAGCCTTTTCGGATAATCGAACGTTTGGCTAATACGGAGTTTTTTAGAAAAAAAAAAATACATAGAACAAATATTACATACCTAAGTAATAATTTATACACATACCTAATATAATTATGACTTAAAAAAAGAATCAATTCTCGACATTTTTAAATGCATTCGGTTTTGGGACGCAATGTTACTCCACCGTTTTAACAGTAAATGTCACTTGCTGTGGCCTTGTTCTACGTATAATAATGCAAATTTCTCTTAAAACTGAAATGAGATTTGGAAGTTAATTCTGATAAAAACCAAATTTTTATTAATCCTAAGAGCTGCACGTGCAAATTTTGGATAATCAGGAGTTGAGTCGAGACTTGTTTCGGTTAAAACGGCGGATCTAAAATTTCCGTTCGTCCTATAAAAATGTGATGTTTAATCAAGAATAAAATTTTTCGAAATGTTCTTCGGTTTTTGGGTTCTAAAAAGTTTTTTATTTTTTTTAAATGGAAACCTACTATAAAACCATTTTTCTCACGAAGGTTATGATCTAAAGATTACAGATAGTTCTAGTATATTTCATTTTTCAATTTTTTTACATAAATTTTCAATTTTGATAAAAAAATCGCATAACTCAACAATACAAAATTTTGTTCTCAAAATACGATCACATTTTTTATATTAGTGTAATTTATATTAATTATTATTTTTTGGAGACAAATGATTTAAAAAAAAACCGCTTGGTTCCATACTTTACATTCACCTACTTTACATAACAACTTTCTTTGGAGACTTTTTTTGTCAAAGACCATGATCTAAAAATTACACGTATCTAAATGCTTTTGTACTAATATTTTTCTTTAAATTAATTTCTAAAGTTAAAGTTTGATACAAAATTTTAAACACATTTTTCTCACCAAATAAAAAAAGAAACCTTTTGGATCTGCTTTTAATTATCTATGGAATGGTGGAAACCCGCGTTTGTAAAATAAAAAAAATATAAATTGAAAACTATATGCCTTAGGAAGAAACGGCTTTTCGTCTATTTCGGGCCTTTCCGGGTGATTTCCAGGCACCCAAAAATCGACGTAATATTTTAAGATTTGCTTCCAGAAACGTAAAAGAATCTCGATATCTGAAAAATGTCTCGTTTTAATTAGTTGCATAATGCGTGATTTTATTTCTGGAAACCTTAAATGGATTGACATTTTTTACGAATTTTCAGGAATTTCACACTTTAAAAAACCTAAAAAATTTGTTTTTTTTTTTAAAGTCGACTGACAAACGTTTTATGGATTTTTCTGAAGTCCTTTACTAGTACAGTTTACTGATACATTGGACTTTTTAAGCATTAAAGTCACTAAAAACAAATTGTTGGGAAATCATACATGGGCTCGATATCTAATATAAAATTTTGCAAAAATAGGAGCCTTATTTGTTTATTTTTATAAATTTTTAAAATTCATAAACCATGAAACCAATGTATTGCTGAAAAAACTATACTACTATGTGATCAAGAAAATGCATTTTACAAATCTGTTATTTTGTATTTTCTCTATTAATTTATGTTGACAGATAATAGACAGGGCTTATATTAAAAACTTTTCAACTTCGAATGTAGCTATACGACTCTTCTACGCGACCAAAATCGACCATTCTTGATTCAACTAAATTAGTTTCAAAATAGTCTATTTTCTGTGCACTTTTGGGTTTGCTGTCTCAAACATTGTTTAACGTACACACCCAAGTTGTTGGTACTTATCGGTCATGGTTTTTCATATACAGTATGTCCCCGGATTGAGTTTACAAGAGGAAAAAAATTTTTATCTTTGATTTTACGCCGAAACTGCAAAGGAAAAAAAGTTTTTGCTTTACTTGAAACAAATTACAAATATGTAATTAAAACTTCATTATTCTAACTCAGTAGAAAGAAAAGTTTATTTTTCTCTTGATTTTGGACTTGGAATAATTTTTCTCTGCTTTTTAAGTCCTATCACATTTTCGGTTTTAATTATTTGACAACTATATGTTACTTTGACAATTAATTTATTAATTAAATAATGATAGATCTTGTTAAAAATGATTTTGGTTATTATCTTAAAGCTGTTTCTTTGAGTTGCTGTTTATTAAAATTGTGTTTTTCACAAACATTTTTGTTATTTAACTTGCGTAAACTCATTTGTCAAAGTGACATCATTATCAAAGATAAAAATTCTCTTGTAAACTCAATCCGGCGACATACTGTATGTAATGTATGAAAATTTTTTGTCGAAATTTTCATTTGCGGTGCCTCATTTACTTATCGTAAAGGGTTCAAGAGCTGTAATTTTTTTTAATGGAGCACTACAATGAAATTGACATATGTGTGTCAAAAACGATGACAAATAAGTCAATTGTAGTCGAGTACAAAATTTTTAAGCCGCGTATTTACACTGGAAGTTGAAAAGTTTCTATAAGGATCAGCCTGTATATTTTATCGCCTTTTCTAGGATAAATTTTCGCGATCATATGGTATTTTGTCGTTTTCTCTTAATCTTTTAATTTAAATGTAACATTTTGATAATCACAGTACTAAAAAGAAAACGTACAATATTTTCTTAATTTATAAGAGTTCCTGAATGTTTTAATTGGCTTTAAAAAAATAGTAATAATAATAGTGTTCAATACTTCATAATTCATGTTACATTTTAGGTTTTTAATCCAATTTTAATGTAAGTTTTTGGGCCAATGTTACAAGGAATAAAAGAAGAAAAAACAAAAACGAGCAATGTAAAGGGACTAGATACTTGACTGATCTCAAATCAATATTAGTTTTGAAACGTGATCCAAAAATTGCAATTCGCGAAATGCGAATATGATTTACGTGTTGAAATCGAGGAAATGCCATCCGTTTTAATTTAGATATTGTGGAGTGTGTATAAATACACGTATTTGCTATTGTATTTGATAATTTGTGTAATTTCGCAACCGGTATGTCCGGCCATTACACAATGGATTATTAGTAATTTGTTTAGTCCTGGAGCTACTATCTAATGCATTTAGATAATAATGAAATGATCGACAGTGACGGATACATCATTTGTAAATGAAAGCCTCGACACTAATAAATAATTTCGGCTTCGTTAAACCCATTTTGCTTCATAATCAAAAAGTTAATAAAATGCACTTGACAGCAGGCTGGCAAGTTTGTAATTAGTTGCAAGTTGGTATACCTGTGAAATTGGTGAGGAGCGTTGTGGGCACACATGACGGCAGTCTCGCCGACCAAACGCCGTTTTGGCATCGCGGTGACGCCGTCCCCAGGAGCTTGTACAGTCCCAATTCACGACATCTTATCTGAAGTTTGGCCTCGTGGGGAAACACCCATCCGGCGGTCTTAAACAATTTACATAGTTATACATCCCGGTTTATATTTCCTTTGGGGATAATATAACAATTAGTCCTACTGCACAGAAGGATAATGATATGTACCGACCCACAAGACCCTTGATTACAACGCGAAAATTAATTTCACACCACCATCACCAACTAACACAACTCGCGCTTGTTTGGCATTAATCCAGCTATGTTTTAAATTTGTTTTTTTGTAAATTTTAACAATCTAAAATTATTTTGTTAAATACGAGATGTTTGGAGCAAAAAAGAAAAAAACACTAAAGTCAACAATTTAATAATTGGACAAAATGTTTTTTCTGAACTGAATAAAAAACAACGATTTTAATAGTTAGAAATCAATAAAGTGCCATTTTAATTGTTAGCAATGCGGTCACACATTTTTTTTAAAACAAATAATTATTCAATCGATTTATTTTCGCAATTTATTAATGTTAATGGTAGGTGCAGTTGGTTTAATTGTCAGTCAATCGTTGTTGTGTTGACCGAAGTGTTGCCAACTTTTATTGAATTTTGTCAACACAATTTTAATTAAAGAAAGGAATTTGTCTAAAAAAAATCTTATTCAATTCAATAAAGCTCAAAAAAGTCAAAATAACTCAACTTGCCTTATCCGAATGTTTATAGTTTTTGAGATACAGACTACAGAAAGTTTTGTTCGTCGAATAAATTTAAATTTGCGGCGTAGCCTTGGACTTCACCAACTCAAATTGTAAACAAATATGATCTTACCGTAAGATCAAAAATTATCTTGATCAAGGGTGGTCATGGATTTTAAATTAATTGTCGTAGATTATGTTGACGCTGTCAATAAATCAAACTAGGATGATTTAAGCAACGACAAACGTTTTCCATTCCATGACCATCCTTGACCAAGGTAATTTTTGATCTGACGGTATTATAAAAAGTTATGAAACAAATGAAAACAAAATCATACGTTTTTCGTGTATTTCTGTGTATTTGATGCAGTCGTAGAAAAAGTATAGTGTGCAACATGTGTAGAAAGCACTATTCACACTTTATGACTTGCAAACTGTCACATGCATGTGGAAAGTGCTACTTTCAACACTTGTAGCACAATATTGACGTGTTTTTTTGTTTGTGTATGTAATGCTGTAATACCTACATACACACAGGATGTGTCAGAACTTGCGCCCCAGAAAAAATTTTCAAGTAAGATAAGATACCAGTAACATGGAAAAAATGTCTTGTTTTTTTTATAATTATTTAGTAAAGGTACAAACATTTTGCCAATAAAAGCCACAAATAACATTAAACAGAGTTGTAATTTAGGATACAGCTTCCTTGTTTCCTCCTCTAATAGCCTGTAGCAAAAAAACTTTAAAAAAAGTATATTTTCAGCAGAAATAAGAATAGAGTCAAAGTGCAAAATTTAAACTCTTATAACTTTGAAACTTTTATAGAATTTTTCCATGTTCATGTTATCTTATGAGTACCTTACATGGCGCGAGTTGTGTGTGGCGCACGCTGTATAATAAGTAAAAATAACGCTTTGAGGGCTTTGAATTCGTTTAATCCGCCTCTGGTTTTCACTTCGTTTTCTGCAACATTTCGTTTTTTCCTTTCACTAAGAGTCTATTTTGCAGCTGCAAGTACCTCCAATCGAACCAAATGTTTTCTTAGCATCATTGATTTTATTTCATCGCAACCCTTTTATTTTAGGTGATAGAGCTGGTGTTATTCGAACGAACTGATGTTATTTCAGCTTTTCCAATTTTATAATAATCATAATAAAAGTGTGACGACCTCTTTGTGTAAATATTTTGACCGGTTCTGTCCGAAATTTTATCAGATTCATGGGCAATTAGCCCAAAGCTTTGAACGTTGGTTTGAAAATAAATGAAATTTGCATGCGTTTCCAGTACCTTTTGAACAAACTAATTTTTTTGCAATGCAAATATTCGTATTTTTTTATCATAAAGGGATTCAGACAAATATTATTACGATTCGCTGGACTAAAATTTGAAATCAGTTTTTCTGATTTTAATTTGGAAATTAATTGTTAAATTATGTATCTAATCGGTTTTCAATTAAACAAATTTAGTTTGAAATTGCCAATAAATGTATTTTTGTATTATTGGAGTTGCTGCGGTATTTAAAATTTTAATTAATCTCGACCCAAGTAAACAAATAAAACGACTCGCTACCAACAACCTCAGATGTAATTATTTTGTAAAACTCTCCTAATCTGTTTAATTTTGTAACTTTCTCGAACTGTAACCGAATTATTTGCAACAAAAGGAGCAAATGATTTTGTTAGCAGTATAGGGGAAGTCCCTATGCCGATAGGGGCCTAAATTAATTATCTAACAAGCTTCGATCATCAATATGTTGAGAGGATCATGTGGGGAGACTGAATCGAGAAAAAAACTATTCTTCCCAATGAAAAGGCACAAATTAAGACGGAATACCTCGCCGTAATTTTCTTTAATTTTCCCATATTTCACAATTTCGACGTTATAATTACTTTTTTGTTCGGCGTTAACGTTATTTTAATGATTTATCTTGAAATATCTCTCTATAAATCAACGCCATATATTAATAAATCTAATTTAACACCCAGAGAAAAAATGGGGCACTTCCCACTTGTTTATGTAGATGTACAAAATGTTTGCCCATTCAAAATGTTTCACAAGGACCATTACGGACCGTTTTATTGGCGGTATTGACTTCATGAATGTATTATTTTAAAACGGTGGTGTGAAGCTGTTACATGTTTTTACTGCAAACATCGGCACTGAAATTCCATATGGAACAGACAGTAAGGCAATTAAGTTTCGGACACGACGTGTTCGGAATTAGAGATTAAAACGGCAATTTGACACTTCGAGACTGCTAAAAACCAAAATCAATCATCATTTTTCGCAATATTTCGACGAGAATAAATTTGTTATCATCCGAAATTAACATACAAACAACGTTATTTTATACCATTAATTTGGTCGAATATGAGCAATATACAGGATTTAATGAATCAAATATTTGTGCAGGAATTAAATTATTAGTTACACTGAGCTTTGCAATTTGTAATATTGACGAAATTGTTTGTAAAAATGCAATATTAGGAAAAAATGTTCAAACAGAATGGTTCAACAAAAGGATCAAAAAACACACCTAACTCAAAGTTAAACCATTAAACTGGAAAAAACTTGTCGTAATCTGACACAGTTTATAAATTTCAATTTTTTTTACAACTGTAATTTAGCTAGTAGTATGCACCTACTGGAAAAAGTTGTCAATTTTTAAAATCCTTAAATTTTATGAACATTCACTATTAGGTATACTACAAAATGATCCAAAATGACTGTTTCTGTTGGCAATCCTGATTAACATCAAGTATTTGTCAAGCAAAACAGAATTGGGTGCAGTGTTGCAAAAATACTTGTTACCAACAGAAACAGTTTTTCTGGATCACTTCGTACTTGTTAGAAAAATTTATTTATTGTTTTAAGAACGATTTTTTAAATAAAAACGCGTTTTATAGATTCTTTCGAAAAGAAGTAAGTACAGAGTGCTTCAACTAAAACTTCCTCGATCAATATGTCGGTCAAAATAGCAGCCTAAATTTCTTTATATCAACTGTAGATGATTTTTCTTGTCTATTTATGAAGTCTGTGGCTTTTACAGTTGATGATTTATTTATTTACAACAAAAAATCAATTGGGGCATTCTATACAGGTTGTACCGTTTTTATTGTTACAAATTTAAACGGGTGATAGGATATTCAATTCTAAGACAAAAGTTTCCTATAAACATGTATCGAAAAATGCTTGGTAAGGGAGCTACACCCGCTGGAAGGGGGCTAATATGTTTTTGCTAATATTTCAGAAACTATTTAAGATAAAATTACAAAATTTGGTACAGGTGTTAACGTTTATACACCTAAGCGAATTCAAACATTAAATGTCGAAATTTTTAATCAGGGGCGTACGAAACTGGGGGAGTTTAAGGTAAAAAAATACCCTATTTATTTTGGCTTTAGTTTCTCGGTACTTTCAGAAACAAAATCTTAAGTTCGATAGTTTTATCACAGAAAAGTCTCTCTTGTGTCGATACGACTTATTGTTTTTGAATAAAATTAATTTAAAATTTATGTTACACCAAAAAAGAGCAAGAAATTCATATTTTTTAATCAACCCCAACTAATTAACATTTCATTACAGTAACAATAATAACATTAATTAAATGAATTTGCCTAGTCTAAAGGAATTGTTGAAAGTGACCACCATTTTGGTCAATGCATAACTAAAGAAACTACAGCCAAAATAGATAGGATATTTTTTACCTTAAACCCCACCAGTTTCGGACGCCCCTGATTAAAAATTTCGACATTTGATGTTTGAATTCGTTTAGGTGTATAAAGGTTATCATCTGTACCACATTTTGTAATTTTATCTTAAATGGTTTCTGAAATATTAAGAAAAACCTAGCCCCCTTTCAGAGCATTTTTCGATATATGTTTATAGGAAACCTTTGTTTTAGAATTGAATATCCTATCACCTGTTTAAATTTGTAACAATAAAAACAGAACACCCTGTATACAGAGTGTGATAGAATACATATTTAATTTTAAGAGAAAAATTTCCTATGAACATGTATCAAAAATTATTATGTAAGCCAGCTACACCCCCCCTGAAAGAAATGAGTTTTTTAATGCGGTTTTCCCACTATTGCAGAATAGATAAACTTACTAAAGTTGATAGCCTTTCAACACCTGAACAAATTCAAAAATCAGTTGTCTAATTTTTGCATCACGGGCGTTAAACCTTAAAACGAATTTAATTTTTAAGTTTTAATTTTTATCCTCTTTATGGTCTGTAAGACAAATTGTAAACTGATTTTACTCAAAAACGGTAAGTTATATCGAAAAAACTCAAGAGACCTCTTTTTTGTGAAGTGAAAAACTATGGAATTTTGTGGCTGAAAGTGGCAAGAATCAACAGCCAAAAAAGTTGGGGGACTTTTTACACCCTACACCCCCCAGTTTAGGACGCCCCTGAGTAAAAATTTCGACATTTTATCGTTTGGGTGTCATCCGTTGTTCCGAATTTTGTAACTTTATAGAATGGTTTCTGAAATATTGAAAAAAAATCCATTAAAAGATGGATGTAGCTTTCTTATATAATATTTTTTGATACATAGGAAACTTAAAATTTAATATTTTCTCACTTGTTTAAATTTGTTACAATAAAAACGGAACACCCTGTATATTTATTTAAAACACATCTTTCAAGTTAAAATAGTTTAAAAATGTTAAAAATGTAGTAACTGGTTTTTTTCTTCTTCAGCATACATGGTGTTTTTCTTATCTGGAAAATTTTTCTAACTTACTTGAATCGAGACGTTTCTGAAGGTCACCACCAGGTGCGGATTGATGTATTCCAGCTTGCAGCTCCTGAAAAGCGGATGAAACCTGCCATTATCTGAAACAAACAAAATTCCTGCCTGAAATCTGTATTTCAGTTTCGAGTGCTTCCATTATTTCATAGAGTTGTTTTTGTTATGTAATCGCATTAATGCGACTGAAACAATACGTCTTGTGTCATTAGACCTCATTACTCCCACATCAGATAACATCATAATCAGAATCCGAATGGAATGGAGACTAATGGCATAATAGCTCTTGCAATTCAATACTTGACGACAGGAAGTAAACATCGCCATTTGTGTAATAATAAAGTTTACGCAGGAGTGGCTCTAGATCCTAATAAAATATCCCGAAGGAATCCTTCGATTTCCTGATGCATAAGTTTGTGTCGGTTTTTATTGTTACCGGCGATAAATTTCCAATGTCTATTAAATCTGTGCGAGAGCATGTGACGTCCAGTTTTGAGGTTTAGCAGCTTGGTATGACAGCCGGAGTTGGTATTACGTATTCGCTGGAACTTTTCTAAATTTGACCGATTTAAAGTTGGAGAAGGAAAACTTTGCACTGCTTTAATGTATTCGGGGGAAATTGCACGCCGAGGAAATTTCAAATTGTAATGGAAAACAACGAATTTTCACAGGAATCATTACTGTTACAACACGGGATTATCGCCTAAAAAAATAAATAAATGTACTTCTTTTCAAACAAGTGCAAACACTTTATCACACCATAAAAGAAAAAAAATTATAAATGTGTGTCGTAAATTAGAAACTATTACTTTTGATAAGTTTGACTGTAGGGTACGTATTTAATTCTGTAACACGCTGTATATGCCTCTATTCTAGATCATCGCCCTCTCGATGGAAATAATCCTTTTTTGGCTGAATTTTTTTTAATTTTTTTACGAAATGCCCAGGCGGGATATTTTGATACATTTCATTAGGAAGGAGGTGTTCTAAGTACACTGACCGGCATAATTATCACACATCACTTAAATTTTAAGATTTGAAATGACTAAATGGTTTTGAAAATATTACTAAAATTGATGATATAGGATAGTAGCATTATCAAGTAACTCAGTCGACTATGGATTTTTCAAAAACAATTGGTCTAGAATCATTGTGTACTGAATAAATGTCAAATTATTAAAATCACCGCTAATTTCCAAGAGACAACAATAAAAAACTGAGCTTTTTTCCAGGCTCGAGGAGGCAATACTGGGTATTAATGGTTGCCTCTGAATGTAAGAAAAGCTTATCTAAGCTAAAGAACTGATCCGCGCGAAATTCGCTTTTTTGTTTCTTTTGACAATCATTAAATTGTTGAAGTTTAAGTCGTAATTTTAGTTTAACTTAACGTTAATTAGTTAAATAATTAATTTTTGATGCAATTATTTTTTTTAAGTGTTATTTCAATTAAGAAATCACTTTTCCCATGTGATGCGATAATTTTGCCGGTGAGTGTATTTAAAAAAAATAAAAAAGAAATTATGCACTTTTCCAAGTCTCTAGAACGTCTAGGAATGTGAGAAACGTCAAATTTTCATTTTGGTCAATTTCCAGTACCCGGAGCAATAACTTCGAAACTGTAACTTCTTATGTTTGGCACTATTGGAAACAAATTTTTTTGGTCTCGACAATTGTAATAATAGACATGTTTACACATTTTTGACAGCTACGGTGTCTCATTTTTACAAGGCATCAATTGGCAGGAAGGTTTTACATGCGTGTAGTCCTCAACACTCAATACAATTTTACTAAAAATTGCACCGTAATTGAAAAAAATTCAAAATGTAAATTTTTTCCTACTTTAAATGCAGATTTTGTTAAAAAAATAATAATTCACTTCAAACCTATCTCATTTTATAGATCTTTAAACGATGATTATGGTGGGCCTTTGAGGTTTTATGATAGCTCTTTTAGTTCCGCCAGTAATCACCGTTTAAAAGTAGAAAAATGAATTTTGAGTATCAAAATACTTGTTTATGTACATAGACTTTGTCACGCTGATTGCGTTAATAAACCGGCAATCCTGATACTTTAATCGTGATCGCCATTTGAAAAAAGTCAAACATCTGATTTTCGTAAAATTGTAAATGATGCGCGATTTTTTCTAAAACTATGAATCTTAAAAAATAGTATAACCTGCTTTATATTGTTCATCGAATAACCAAAAGCTGCAATCGATCAAAGTTACAATGTAGCTAGAAACGCGTTTTTAACTTTTGATTAAAAAAAATTGTAACTCGATAACTAAGGGCTCTAGGGAAAAACGCTTTAGGCAGGCGAATTTCTCGGATGATTATGTATATGAGTATATAATATCATCATTTTCGGGCTGTTTTGAGTGTTTTCCGGAAATCCAAAAAATTGAAGTATTATTTTAAGGTCAGCGCCTAGAAACTTTCACAATATAGCTCAATATCTCGAAAACTTCTCATCATAGAGCATTTTAACTTTTACAAAACTTTGAATCTGCTTTTAATTTGAACAGCAAAGATTTGGAATAGTTTTGGATAGAGAAAGGTTTTTAATTTTTTTATTAAAAAATGTAACTTGAAATCCACTCGTCGAAGAACATTTTAATTGGTTAAAATCCGTTTTTTGTAAAAAGAAGTGTCTAAGTCTAAATTAAAATTTAATTGTTCAACCGTTGCTAAAGTAGCGCTAATAATCTGATTGGTGGTGTTTAACCTAAGTTTAAATTTATCTCTCGGTTAAATGTCGCCAGAAACTGGGCCTAAGAAAATTTAGAGACGGAAACATAAAAACAGGGACAAATTATAGTTACCACTAAAAATTTTTGAAAATTTGAAGACGAAAAGTGTGCAAGCAGAAATCAGAAAAAGGTCATCGTTAAAATTTAAACGCAATTTGTGAGGCAGGTTTATTAAACAAACCTAATTTTTAGCAAGAAACTGACGAGAATTAAAAATATACATGAATGAGAACGAATGCAATTAAATTAGTGTATCTGGTTGCACTGTTTTTAAGAAACGATTTAAAAAAGTAACAATTTTGAAACTATAAAGGTGAATAAGAATTTAGATAATCATCAACTTCGAGTTTCAATTTTTTTTCAATAAATTACACAAAATTGATATCCAGTTTTCATAATACTTGCTTGTGTCTTTTAAAATAACTGTTTTCTGTATAGACATTCTTTTTCATTAAAATTTTTATAGCAAAAAATTCATTTTTACTCACAACATTTGTACTTGCGTTGTGTTTCTATCTGAATTCTATCTTTAAACATTAGGTAGTAATATTTGTTCTCAAGTATTTAATTACAATGCTTTCAAAAAGCAAACAGGCACATAAGATTCATAACAGTCAACATTTTGACAACATTTCATGAAAACATAATTTTTTAACAAAATTCGTGAGTATGGAAATTACTAAATAAGCTGCCACCATTTTTTTCACCAAAACTTTGACTTGATTTCCGTTTAAAAAATCAGATTTTACGTAAGTATAGAAACCATTTTTTTTTAGTGATCATTTTTTAAGAGAATTTTCCACAAAGTCATCAAAACATCTAAATTGTGTTTTACAAAGTGACTTATGAACTTCTTTTGATAAATATAGTCACTAATTAAATCTAATTTAATCTCTTTGCCGCTATCGAATTGAATAATTAAAACTTCGTTTGCTATTCAATGCATTGCAATTGATTGTTTCGTACATACACGTATTTACATTTTGGCACAATTGACGTAAAGTGAAGCTGTTTGTTGAAGCATATTCTGGTTGAATTTCTAATTTCGCTCGCTTGTTTAATCTAATCGTAACCCCGACAGCTCATTCCATCAAATTCCCTTCGGTTACTTAGACATTTGTTAATTAAGAAACGGTTTCGTCCGTATAAAGAATGATCTAGTAAAATGACTCGCAACTTCGGTTCGATTTCCTCTCTCGCCACTGTGATTAATTTAGCACCTTCATCTCTCCTTTATCTCGATCGACAAAACTCGACTTTTTGAGACCATTAATAAAATAACGACTAAAGCTGCGAATTTATTGCGGAGGAGAGAATAAACCGTTTTGTTTATTTTTTCGGGATTTGGTTGCGTCTAAATACGAGGAGAGTTAAAGCATTATTTCAGCTTAATTACTTCAACATTCGCGTTGAGAGTGATTTATTTAAAAAGGAAAGCGAGAAAACTTACCGTGATTATCGACGCAGAGAGGGCCGACCCATTGACCTCCGATACATTTGATTTTGCAGAGACGCTTTTCACCAAGGGGACCTATCGAACCGGAAAATTTCACTTCGCGGATGTGCGTGTAATCCTTGCGAATTCGAATTTCTCCCTGTTCGGTTTCCGTACCGTTGAAGGCTAATTGAGGAGGTGGACACGAATCCGACGATGTTTCTGGAAAAAATCCACATCAGTAGGTATATCCTGATTATTATTTGAATTTTTCAAATCTTCATATTTTTGGGTTTTTTATTTTAAAGTCTAGGGTTTTTTACATCTTTAGATTTGAATTTGTTTTATTTCCTTAATTGCCTTTATTATAAATAGTTTTTTCAAATCTTTTTTTAGGCATTATTGCCAATACATATTTGTGAGTCTTTCGCAAAACAGTTTAAATGTTTTTTGTAAGTAAGTCTAGATTTTTTTGAACTGTTGTTTCTGTCTAGTTTAACTGCTTTTTTCAGTCTATCACTATTCATAATATTGTCTTCTATTTAAAAGTTTTTTTTTTTAATAAATTTTATTTATATTTTTTAAGCGATTTTGAAACCATCATGTTTGTAAAAATAATTTTTATCTTCACGCAGTCGAAAATTGCACCTTTGTGTATCTTTATACAGGATGCGCCAGAACTCGCGTCCCAGAGAAAAATGCCATATAAAGTAAGATACCAGGAACATGGAAAAAATGTTAAAAAAATTTTATTTTTAAAAATTTTGAAGTTATGAGCGTTTAAACTTTGCACTTTGACTCTATTTATTTCTATTGGAAAGATAATTTTCCATTTTTTTTTTGCTACAGGCTATTATAAGAGGAAACAAGGAAGCTGTATTCTAAATTGTAACTCTGTTCAATGTTATTTGTCGCTTTTATTGGCAACATTTTGGTTCATTTACTAAATAATTGTAAAAAAACATATACAAGATCATCAGTATCATTAAATAGACATAAAAAATGTCAAATGTCAAAATTTTTTGACAGATAGAATTTTTTAAACATTCTTCCATGTTTCTGGTATCTTATCTTACTTGAAATTTTTCTCTGAGGTGCGAGTTCTGTCGCATCCTGTATAAACGATTGAAGTGGCTTTTTTTTAACCGGAGTTGAAATACTTCAAGTCCTAGAAGTTAAAGTGTTCACAGAGGCAACTTGACCGAGTCAAATATAAGGTCATTTGAAGCATTTCACACGGTGAAAACACAATTTATGTATCAATAGTTCACGAATCACAAATTATTTAATAATTGATTTATCTCTATTAAAAAAAGTCTCGAAAAAAACTAAATAACAAAAAAATATTACCCAATACATATTTAACCGCTGCCACTGTGGTAAAACACGAGTCGCCGTTGTGCATCGATGACAGGTGTTAGAATCAAAAATAGGAAGATGGCCGTTTAAATTTAATTTTTATAAATTCATCTAACTGACTTCTAATTAAATGAACTAAACTCCATTTTTTATTTATGCGTTTGGATCTCTTAATAATTCAAAAGACGTACCAGATATCTATCTCTTTTCAACATTTGTAAACAGCGTTGTTGCTCTCTCGCTACGTATTTCCGTAAGGTTGGTCACGTTATTTATCTCACTTTATCATATGCAATTAAAGTAACGCAGAGCTATCTAGTGACGTTACATACGTCAAAAGTGTGTCTTACCGTAGGTCATTTATAATTTCTTTTTAATGGGGAAAACTGTTTTGAGGCTAATATTTATACCTTTTATATTATCGTAACAATCGTAATTCAAGCCCTATAAAAATCCTAATGCGAGGGAGAAGCTTTAATTTTTGCCTTTAGTACAAAATGTCAGAAGCTGTCAAATGTCAAATACAGACGGAGGTCATGTCGTTCTTGATTCACACTACTCCCACCAGCAAATAAAAAAAAATAGACTGTGTACTAGTTTTTTTTAATAAATTTTTAAAGTTGCGTTCCAAACTCATCACGAACATTTTCCGAACTTATCCAAAGTGGTCGTTTCATGCATTTCACATAGGAAAGCCCTGTTTTTTGGTGCACGTACTTAGTACTGGTTAAAAAAACAATTTTGTTTAATTGAAAAAAAATTGTCATAGTTTACCACGCTTGAGAAAAAAAAAATTTCAAACGCGAAGACTAAAAAGAATTTCGAGTTTTTTTAAACGGTCACATTGTTATAGTACTTTACACTACACTATTTTTTCGTAAAGTAATTAGTCTATGCAAAAAACGTTTGGTTCCTGCCTTTTATTTACTTCTAATTTTTTTCCGGACACTTGTATAACCAAGTTCCAGTTATGATTCAAATTTCACTGGGATTGAATTGTAACAATTTAAATCTTTCTAATCTCGCTCTGTATGTTTCTAGAAGATAAATGATTGTTATTCACATTTGGCAATTAAGACACTTAGTTAATTGAAAATAGAAGTTGTAGCTGCTATTGTTATAATGGTATCATATTTCAGCTACATAAACTTAGATATGATTCAATCCACTCGTTTATCATATCTCTCTTAAAGTTAAACTTTTAATTCATTCTATTTGAAACATCGCGAATTTATCTAATTCCGTCAGAAAACTCCACCATTCAAAAGTATAATTTGACAAGTTGTATACTTTTCCAAAGTTTCAAAAGCAAGCAAGCAAATTTCAGGTGTTTATATAGTATGATTCTAAACGACATTTTCAATATCGTCCATCAAATAACTTTTTAAAATATGTTGTAACTTTTGAACTCTTAGTTCCCTTCCCTGTCACTTGCAATAAATGAAAAACGTATTTCCGTACATAGATATAAAGCGGAAAAAGGGAGGAAAGATGATAAATTATCCAGATTTTCATAGTGATGCCGCCCTGTTCATAAATTTTAAATTATGAAAAATGCTTCAAAAATTCTTTTAATTAACAACCGGTTATTATAAGTGCCGAAAATCACGCAAACTGCACACGAAACGAAAGCTTTTCCTTCCTTATTTGTATTGAAGTTTTGTCGTTTGGACGAATTAAGTCGAGTGCAATTCGTTACATTGAATTTGCATTCAGAATGGGACAATCGTGTTTCATTTCGTATACATAAGACCCGAAAGTGTCAGACTCTTGATTCCACCTTTTGTTGCTCTTTAAATTAAATTAAGATAAATCGCGCCATTAAAACTAGAAAGGTAAGTGAATTTCTCGCAAATCTCTAATGTAGTACGAATGGTCGTTGTTAGTTTTTTCGTAATTAAACTCGGTAAAACTTTTATTTCTATTGCCGTTTAATTTCCCCTCTTAACCGTAAATTTCGCAAAGCGACTGTTTGTAAATTTAACGAGGACTGTTTAAATTTCCAGCGTTCTCACAGATTTATTCTTATCTTATTGGAAGAATCGAATAACAAGGTTTTTTGAGAGGTAAGTAAACCTTAAAGAGATTTGTTTATTGAGAATGCGGGATTTGAAACGTGCGAATAATACAGCTGTTTAATCTTACACAAATGTATGCAGCTTCATTTTGGGAAATTTGAATAGAGAGGAGATAAATAAATAAAATCTGCGGCAACATCTGACACATTCGATAAGAGAAATCTTCAATAAAATCGGAAAATACAGAACCAATTACATGACTTTTTCATTATTCCGTCAGAAGCAGAAATTTCCAAAAATAGCTCAATCACTCGACCGTAAACATTCTCCCCTCGAATTTGAAAAATAAATCTTACACGCATTGTTCCAACAATCATAAAAAGTGACAAGGTTTCAGGTTTTCAACGTAACGACGTATTGATGTATGAATGTGACATAAAATAATAACAAAACGCGGAATTAATGAGAGATTTATACAATGCGATTCGTTATCTTCCGATAAACTCGAATTGACGAATCGGAAGAATTTGCAAACTCTTTCATAAGCTTTGGAGTGAAAAAATAATTGCTAGAGGTGATGGGAAACTTGCCGTAACAAGATTACTTGGAAACTTTTGTTGCAAATGAAATTCATTGAATTAAAATCGTATAGGTCGCAACAAAGTACTGAGCTGGATAAATAATGTGTTTGCTTTTTGTTTATGGCTTGGGAGGAAAAAGTGATGCCTTGTTAAGGAAATTAGCGAGAAAACTTGGCTGATAAATGTTTATCTTCCCCATCTCGGATTGGAGTTATACGAGCGGAAGAGGGAAATGCAAATGCCACGAAATAACTTATGGCGCAGGATCAAAGGTGTTTCCCTATATCATAAAATCTGCATTAATTCCGCCAAAGATGAAATATTAAGTTCGCTTTTTGCCTTGGCCGATTTCCTATTGAGAATAATCCCAAATATTAATTTGAAATACTTGTGTTTGAGGAGAAGGAACTGTGAAATCGGAACCCGAGAGGATTTCCACGAAAATGCAGGACCGTCTTCCTATTTAAATGTATTTAAATGAGCACCTTTACAACCAATTTACTCTCGGAGCGAACTGAAGAAAAAATACAAATGCGAAAGGGATTTTGTTGATTCATTTACGAAAGGCTGGAATTCGGAAAATTAAAAGGGATTTTTGTCAAGTGAGATTGTTCAAAGGGTTGAGAGGCTCGTGAAAATGTTTTTTTAGCAATTTACAAATTCTAATTTATCGCCTTAAAACCGGTTACGTTGTTAAATTATCAAAAAAACTCAATTTTAAAACGTTTATTTCGTAATTACAATAACTTGAAAGCTTGATAACTTTTTTACTTTTTTAAGATTTGACGTTTAAACGGTCAAAAGACAAGAAGATCTTTTTTAATTTAATATTTTAAACGGCGTTTAGATTATTCACATTTTGATATGTATATTTTTTAATAATAATTTTAAAAAATGCAAAATAGTTGTCATTTAAAAATTAAAGATAATAAAAAAAAATCTGGGAAAGTGTGATTCTGAAAATTCAAGTTTCTGCAACAGATTTGTCTAAGATACTGTCAACTCCGAGACATTTTAGGTACCCATACTCATACTCTGGATTTTAACCGTAAACAATTGGATGAAATATCGACCTACAACCCGAAATCGTTTATCCTTGGAAATTTTAACTTACATAATGACAATTCTGGCTAAATTTTATTGAAATATTAGGATTTTTTGTTGCCCAAATTGTCTTTGAATCTTTTGGAAGAACTTACCACACAAAAAACTAATTGGTTTTTTAAAACTGGCGAATATTTTATGCTATTTTCAGCCCAAACAG